AGCCTCCCCAAGCCTGAGCCAGATGGACCTCTACTGTACATAAATTCCTCAGGCTGTGGTTTCCTTTACAGCAGCACAAATAGACAAAAACACTCCCTGTTCCCTCCTCCCATTCCCTGGCAACCAACATTCACTTTGTCTCTATGGTTTTATAAGAGGAGTAGAATCACACAATACATATCTTAAAAGTGGAAAAAAGTACTTGTCTTTTTTATATGTTCATTTCCCTTAGCATAATGTCCTCTACCTTCATCCACTGGCATAGCACGCGTCCTAACTGCCTTCCTTTGCTCTTGCTGATGAGACTAAACACCCAGCACCCAAAGTCAAAGGAGAAAGGTTTATTTAGCTCATGGTTGTGAAGGCATAGTCCACAGTCAGCTGGCTCTGAGGCAGGGTGATTCGGCAGAGGGGCATCACAGAAGGCAAAACAGTTCATGGCGGGCAGAACGCAGCAAAAGCAAGCAAGCAAGAGAGGGGCAAGACAAGCCTCTTTCTGTTCCTTTTATCTTATTTAGGGTACTCCGGTGGGTAGCACGCACACCCTTAATCCTAGTGCTCTTGAGCCTAGTGCTCCACCATGAATTGATCCCAGGATCACACACTCTAGGTCCAGCCACCTCTGGAAAAGCCCCACCTAAGACCACCTGAAGCTTTGGGGGGCATCTAGACACAGTCACCAAGTGCGTAAGACTCTGTGGCATGTGAACCCTATGCTTTATTTGTTTGTCCATTTGACCAACAGTGGGCACCTTCTAGCTACAGTAAATAATGCTGCTATGAATGGGATGTGCATACACCTCAACACCCTGCTCTCCACCCTGAGGAGGGCTGCTGACCCAGTGGCAGTTCTGGGGAGCTCCCCGAGGACCATCAGGCTGTTCCTATCCTGCTGCACCATCCGATGGGCTCCTGCCAGCAGTGCACAGGGCACTGGTGCCTCATAGCCTTGCCAGCATTTATGTTCTATTTGGATTTTCTTTTTGCTTTTTAAACAGGTATCCTAATGGGCCAGAGATGGTATCTCACTGTGGCTTTGATTCAAATTCCCCTGAGCTGAAGTGAGATTCTACACTAGGTCTAGCACAGCCAAAAAGTGATTTTAAAAAAGTAAACAGTGCCAGTGCTCCCAAAATGCTTCTGTTGCAAACAGTTTCCCTAACATCGCAAGACAGGATCCTCGGCTCTTCTCTCACTGTGTGCAGACCACCAAATCTAGCACTGCAAAATCACCTCTGTAGCCTTTGCTTCAAAATAATCCAAAGGCACATAAATCAAGTAAGACCAGCCATGAGTGAATGGGTAAGTTTTGAAGCCAGTTGACGGGAACATGAGGCTCATCATACTTTTCGGTTTTCTCCATTTAAAAAAAAAATCCTCTCTGAAGAGGTGAGGACTTGATAGACCAGCAATCTTGTGAGGCAGAGAGTGATGTTCACAGGGGGACCCCATGCTCATCTAGGACACCAGTCCAGGTGATGAGGGGACCCCAGGCTCATCAAGGACACCAGCCCAGGTGATGAGCGGACCCCAGGCTCATCAAGGACACCAGCCCAGATGATGGTCCCCAGCAGCCTGGCTCCTTCCCCGAGATCACCCAAAGGGCTGTGCCCACCCCTCAGCCTCCGGTCTTACTCCTCCCTGGGTATACAAGGTGGAAAAATGCTTCCAGGATGCAGCAAGAGGGACTGGGAAGCTCTTTGGAGCAGGCATCCAGCCTCCCACTTGCAGTCTAATCTGTCCACAGCCTCTGTGCCCTCCAATTGTGCCCCAGTGCACCCCGACAGAAAAATGATTAACTCAACACACACACACACACACACACACACACACACACACACACACGCCCAGTTCTGCAAAACCCTAGTAACACAGTGTTGTAGCTTAGGGTCTTGCAAGGGGAAACAATACAATACAGAACACGTATTTTATACGATCATTTATAATAGCCACTCAAAGAATCATACACAAACAGATTGCAGGTAATCTGTCCACACACTAAAGACAAAGAATCTTCCTGAGGGCCTGGATCCCAAGGAAATGTCCTGCATGAATCCAGCTAAAGACCTACAGCCCCTAACAACGCCACCCATGAATCCAACTGGAGGCTTAGAGCCCATGACAGTGTCTCATGCAGGCCTGTTTCATGGATCTGTGCTGGGAAGGCTCAAAGGTCCGTGGTAGAAGCTAGAAAGTCTGTGCCAGCGGGATGAAGGATCTGTGTCAGCAGGCTGAGAGATCTGAACTGGAGCTAGGAAATGATGCTCAAAATAAGAACCAGAGCTCCCCAAAAAGTACCACAGCCATCCTCAGTGACAACAAGATCCCACGTTCCTCCTCCAACGAGAACAGCCAAGTTCATCAGGAAAGCCAGCATGACAAACTCCCTCAGGAAAACCAACAGCTTCCTATAGCTTCACTTCTCTAGTTCTGCCTCTTCTATTGCCAGCAACAATCTCAGGTGGGCCTCCCATACCCAGCACCATGCTGGTTCAGTTCAGCTGAGTGTTACAAGTTGACCAACAGTTGTCAACCCACCACACATAGTAATGCCCCCAACAACCAAGCACATGTGCTACAACTCTGGGCTCACAAGCTCCGCAGCCTGAATTTGGGGTGCAAATGTATTACTAAGCAAGAGGGCTGAGCCTCCAAAGGGCCCAAAAGTGGGTCTGAAGAAGCAGATCTGACCAGGGCCCTCGACCGCAGCAGCAGAAGAGTTTGCCCCAGCTGCGGAAGCCAGGGTGACCATCCAGGCCAAGGCACAAATGCCTGCAAGCAAGGCAGCAAGGGCAAGATCCAGCATTCAAGTGTACAAAGGGTCATGTTGCTCACCTAGCCTGGGGCCCTCCATCACATCTGGCCTGGGGCAGGGGTATACTACAGGAACCAGAAGGCTCCCCTCCTACATGTAAGGATAAGACACAGTCCTCCCCAAGGAGGGAGCTAGAGAACACCATGGCTGTCCTTCAGATGCCCCCAAAAGTGGCACTGCTGGGAAGGGGCAGCACCTTCAGGAGGCAGAGTACAGCTGGAAAATCTCAGGTCTTTGAAGAGGCACCCATGAGGGGATGGTGAGCCCTTGCCCTTTCCTCCCCTTTTGCTGTCAGGCCATGAAATAATTTGTTCCATTCAAATTCCTCAGAGGCGGGCTGGGGATTTAGCTCAGCGGCAAAAGCGCCTGCCTGGCAAGCGCAAGGTCGTGAGTTCGGTTCCCGGTACCGGAGAAAAACCAAAAAAAAAAAAAAAACAAATTCCTCAGAGGCCCAAAGCAGGGTGTCTACCTGCTCCTCGGTAAAGCATTAACCCAGATAAGCCTTTTCCCTTTGTCAAGGGCTTATCACAGTGCAGAAAGCTAACACACACACAACCACCTCAAATCCGTTTGAGGGGCAATGAGGACATTCCTGGTGAAAGGTCAAGGCACTAAACCCTGTCTTTCAGAACAGAAAAACTCCAATCACGCTGAGATAAATCGCCAGGAGACAATGCTATAAAATCAAGGTTGAAAAGCAGAGAGGTTTTGTAAGCCAGTTTTGTTCTCAAGAATTCCGGTCAAGACAGGAACCACTGACACAAAGTAGAAGCACAATGTGACACCATGGCCTAGCTGTCCCTGCCTCCATCTGTCCCACGCAGATGCTCTGAACCACACCTGCTGAGTGGTTTAAGAGCCTCTGGCACAGGGTCAGTGCCTGCCTTTTGCTGGACCAATCCCACAGGCAAAACGCACAGGATTATCCCTGGAGGCCCTGACCACTGTCAGCCACAGCCCCACTTCCTGGTCCTCTTTCAGGACAGAAACTCTAGAAGAACTGTCAGCAAGTACCGTTTCACCCGGCACATTCCCTGGCTCCCTGGCCAACTGCAGCTGGGTGTCATCCCCTACCCTTGACCAGAGCCTGAAGCAGTCCCAGCCAGGGCCACCGAAGCCTCCACTGCACCTCACCATCCCAGGTGCCGTCCTCACCCTGCAGTGCCACACTGGGCACAGCAGACTGCTCCTCCCAACGGAGAGGCCTCTACACCTGCACAGTCCCCTCGTCTTCCTCACCTAGGGACAATCTCTCCCAGGCACCTCTGAGCTGCTCTCCTCCTCCACTCGCCCCTGCACCTGGGGCTCAAGCTTCAGACCCTGCCTCTTCTCCCTCTTCCTCTTGCCCAGCCCTCTTCTTCCTGACGAGGACCCAGACTTCCATTTCCATGATGGCTACGCATACAGGAAAGCCCCATCCCGTGAAGATGGCTAAGAGACAGCTCAGACTTACCATTCCACCCCCAATTTCTCGCCAGCGAACAGGGTGTGACCATCCTTCAGCCTCTCCGCAGTCACCCCATTAAGTCATAACTTCCAAGAGTTATTTAGTGGGGAGTAGAAAATCATTTCAGCTACCCACAAGACCTGCTCAGCCCTGAGGGACCGAGTCTCCTCTCCTAGGTCTCCTCTCCTCCTTACTCAGCCCAGCTGTGAGGACCTCTCTTTGTCCTTTGCACATGCCAAGCTCACCCCCGCCTTGAGGTCTTTGTGCTGCAGTCTCTCTGGCCTGGGCTCTCTCCCCAGCCCCTCTGGCCACCTCTTCACCCTCCTGGGTCCCACCCCCAGGCTCCTCCTCAGGACACTCTTCTTAACCAAACAAGTCACCCATCTCCTGCATATTCGTGGATGCACAGCAGCCCCCACCCCAGGTGGACATCAGCACAAGGGCCACATATCTTTCCATGTCCATCGTCACCTCCCAGAACTAAGGGAGGACCCACTCCATGGTCACATGCAATGAGGCACAATGCTGCCCCCACCAAGTGGCCTTCCGAAAGCAGGGATGGAGACAGGCAGACAGGCATCTGGAGAGGTAGGCAGAGCCCTAGTCTGCTCCCCATGACCAGCCCACAGAGCCTGCCCACCCTCATCCCGGAGTCCCCCCTACCCCTCAGGGCCTGGACATCACAAGTATGTGGAGAATGCTGACTCACTCTATACAGAGGCACTCTTCTGCACTTACCCAGAAGATGATGTTGTAGCTGAACAGGAGATACTTGTACCAGCAGCTGACCTCAGCATTGGAGTATCTGTAATAGTGCATCTTCTGAGAGGCAGGGCCTGCAAGACAGGGATGGCAAGAGGGCAGGCTTAGTTTTCACTGTCACCCCAGAGCTTACCCCCAGCAAAAAGCAAAGGTAAGGCTCAGAGTTAGACTCCAGAAATCTCCATCTCCCTACTGTCCTGCTAAACCAATCACAGGTCCAGAACCAGTGCCGGCTCCTGGGGAAGCAGAATTCGGTCAGCCTTGAGAAACAAACAAAAGTATACAAAGAGAATTTTTGAAAGAAGGAAGATGACCATTTTCATAGTATCCCTAAGTCCCAGGAATTCTGTTTGGAATCCTCCCAAACATTCCTATCATTAACTCAAAACTCTATACTGATTTTTCAACCTGTTGCTAAGAAAACAGGAGTTCAGAAAGGTCGTGTAACTTGCTCAAGGACAAAGGAGCAACAACAGAGCCTAGGATCTGAACCTAGGACAGAGGGTTCCAGTCTACATTCTTCCCATATCCCAGTGCCAAACAAGGAAATAAGACCTGACCACCAAGAGCCACCAGCTTCTGCACCTTCCAGGGAAGAAGCTACTTGAAAAACCCCTTTCAGGGAGGTGTTCATAGGACCCCAGTCCTGGTTTGTACTGTTTCGAGTGATGTCAGTGAGGGACACGGAGCCACACTTCCCTGGAAATAGGTCCTATGACTGCTCAGTGGGCCTTGAGGGTGCAGCAGACCCACCGTTTACTCACCCTACCTCAACCTTCCCCGGATGGACAGAAGGGCGGTCAGTGTTCTGACTAGAGAGCCCCGCCTGTCCAATCTCAAAACCTAGCCAGAAGCAATGGTGCCCAGCAGCCTCATGGCCACCTGCTCTCTGCACACCCACAACTCCTCTCCATGTAAATAAGGGGAACACAGCACCCCAAGGGCCCAGTGCTCTGTGGCATAGCACACACTTGAGGTCCAATGCCTGGGCCACTGGCTGACTAAGGGAAAGCAAGGATCTCCCACTGAGACTCACGCACCTTCCCTGCAGCACAGCGCTCCGCCAGCCCACCGAAGTCCCTGCCCTCAGATCCTGGAGTCCCAACTGGAAGGCAGCTCTCAGTGAGCCAACCCTGGTGTCAGCAGTATGTGAGGCCCAACCCATCAGGGTCACTTGTCAGAGTCACAGATTCCCAGACCCAGATCTGCAGCGGCCCAGGAACCCTAAGTCTCCCTCCTGATGAATTCTGCAGGTGACTTCAACATTCAACCAGGTCTATGGCCAGGTGTCAGTGGGAAAGGGGGGCATAGTCCCTCCGGGTCCTGTAAAGGCAGACGAGCCACATTGGCCAGGGTGGGGTGCTAACTAACCAGAGGTACTAACACTACCTGCTTGTGTTCCACAGATGACAGAGCCCCAAAACACTGGGTATTTCTGGTTTGGTTTGGTTTTGATATATTTGGAGGAGGGGCTGCAGATAGCTGTACGCACGCATGTATAGGAAAAATGTACTCTATGACTCAACTAGTTTCTCTCAGTGAACAACACACTCTGCCAGAAACACACTAGTAGGCATGAAAAATAACATTCTAGGTGCTAGAAACCCTGTTTGTTTTTGTGGACAAGATGCTCCTGGCTCTGGAAGGTGGCCCCTCCTCTTCTAGGTTCCTGGGGAAGACTGAAAGGCCTGGTCAGACCTGGCATCCAGATACTTAGGGACCCCAAAAGATGCCCTTCGGCCATGGCACAGAGCCCTCCAGAAGCTCTGAGGAAAGAAAAATGCCAGACTCCCTGCTTCCCAGAGACTGCAGCTCCACAGAGAAATTACCTAGTCAGCAAACAGGTCCTTCCGGAACTGGTGACTCAGCCTGCTCCCTTTGCCCAGGGCCCTCAGCACTCGGACTAGTTCAGCTTCAGGCCAGTTATTAAGGAGAAGGACAGCAACTCCCAGACCACTGGGAACCTCATGGAGATGCAGGCAGCAGGGTACTGCCACAGGGCCTGGGTTCTTTCCCTGTAGGTTTCATCTTCTTCCACCCCACAAGCTACACAATCAACTGAGAGATAACTCTGTGTGCACAGATGGTGGGGTTCAAACCCAAGCCGGAAGATTGCTACAGCAATACCTGACCCCAAATGGCCCCAAATGACCCAGTCCTTGGCACCTCACATTATTTGTCAAACCAAGTCATACGGGATGATAGCAGAATTTATCTTAGCCCTTTACCAACTGATGTGTTCAACTGACACCAATACCACTTACCTCAACACACATACATGTGCACACACAACTAAAAATCTTAGTTTTCTAAAAGTGAATGAATAAACTTTTCCCTAATACTAATTACAGCTCCAGCAGAGAAGAATCCAAGAGCTCTTTTGTGAGAGTAGAAAACAATTATCCAGCCCTCAAACTGTCTCAATTCCAAGAACTTATTAGTACAAAACAAAGTATTTACATGACAAATAGAAGGCACGTGTTTGTCAAATCATCAACTTCTTAAGACAGGGAAAAAGTAGAATTATTTAATAGTGTTGGAATAGCTAATGAGCAATCTGAAGAGAATTAAATAAGCAAAAATTAATTTAAGTATTTAAAGGGCACACAGGTACGCATGTGTTCATATACCCTGGAGAACAGGCTATTTCAGCATGCCCATGTTAATCATTTTTTCTCTTGAGACAACAGGAAAACAAATCCAAAGTACAAGATTACCAAAAATCCCCATATGATTAAAAGTTACAGTAAAATAATAAAGGAAACATAAATGATAAGCTGTCTGCAGTTGCAGCAATTATGAGAAAAAGTAAATACTTCGGGCCCAGAAAGATTCCTCCAGGTTCCTGGGCAAACATGAAAGGCCTAATCAGAGCTGGTATCCAGATACTTAGGGACCCTAAAAGATGCCCTAATAAACAAAAGACTTCCATTTTAGGTAAACAAAGAATACTGACATTATATTGACCTTCCACAAAAATGAAAGGTCAATATAATTAACAAATATAAAAATATTCAGTATCACTGAAAATTAAATTTAGAGACCACCCAGAGATACTATTTTACATGAAATTTGCCACCACTGCTGGCAAACACCTTCATACCTGGCTGGCAGCAGACCACTCTGTTTATTCAACACCAAAAACATCTAGTCATACCCTTAATCTAATCAACTAATGGCTAAGGACTTGCCTCATGAAAATAAGCCAGCAAAAGAAAAAGAATATGAATTAAATATGAAACATGAACATCCTGGCTTGCAATTATAAAACAATTTGTCAGCATATGGGTAAAGGCCCCAGTGGATTATGAGAGCACAAGGGTGGCTGCCCAGGCACTGGCCTTTAAATGATCGTTCCAAAAAGGTTTCCACCCTCACCTCACCTATTTTGGTAGAATAAATGCAAATAGGGGCCACTACCTAGTAGGGGCAGGGGCAGCAGAACCTGCAGCCACCACAAGCAGAGCTCCCCTTCTACCTCTGTGCTGTATTAAGCTGCAGCCTTCCTCCCTGCTATCCTTTTCTAATTTAAAAAGTAGCACATGCTCAATAAAAAATTATATGTATACACATACATATGTATATATGTGATCAATTCAGAAGTGTGAAAAGTGAACTGGCAATGAGAAGCCACTAAACAATGGCGTTCCAACAGTTTGACCACCACTCATGGTGACAAATACACTGCGGGTTGAGGCCACAGCAGCAATTGACCAGCAGGCACAAGGCCCAGGTTCAATCCCCAACCCTATAAAAACTAACAAACAAAATACATTTAATAAAAATCAATGCAGTGTGCACACACCTGCATGCACAACTGAAATGACTTTCTTTAAATGGTATTTCCATCACGTGCTATGTAGTCTACATTTGCTGTTAATTTTTTTCAAAATTATACCTGAACATAATCTAAGACTCAACTATTCTAAAACCTCCCTTTAGGAAAAGAGCAGACGCCAGTCCCACTCTGAGGCCAAGCCATGCCTTTTGCATGGGACATTAAACTTCTAGCTGACTTTTGTTTATAGCCTTAGAAACGCTGATATCTAATATGCTTGCAATACTACTCCCTGGCTTTGACAGTTTGCAGCAAACTGGCTACTACCTGCCTACTTCCTACCCTAAAATATGTGGATTTACCCCTGTGCTCCCCACAAACCTCTCCTCCTCCCATCCCAAGCTCCTGGGTCACCCTCTCCCTTCCCATCTCTACTCTGTAATACAGTTAAACTGCAGAACTGGCCAGGGTCATTTTCAGAGCTGACATCAGGATGGCTACAAGGGCTATCAAAGTGAACCATGTAAACCACAACTGATTTTCTTTTTCTTTGCAACTTTGTTTTCTCTGGTGTTCATCATTCTTATCTTCGTTTGCTTCATTTTCTATAAATTTACCAATGGTCAACTTCAAATCTGTCTGCTATCTAAATCTCTCAGTAAGTCCTATTTCTGTTTCTTTTTCCAGAAGAAATCCCTCTGGAAGCCTGTGATGCTTCTATCACCAAGACTCCCTCTTCTCTCTTTTAGAAGTCCAATCTTTGTTCATCTTTGTGGAGAAATCCATCATGAGTTTTTCTTACCAAGTACTCCACAGTTTCTTACCGGTACTCCACCTTATGCTACTCCTACTCTGCAGTTATCCTAGCCATGTGCAGAGTGTCTGGCTTAGCTTCAGTGTCACGGAGAACAGTAAGAAAGTGCTGCTCACCATCTTCTCGGTTCTGAGCATGGAGTGCCCAAAGCCATGAACTCCTCATCTTTGTATCTGACTGCCTCTCCCCATAAACCCACAGAATTGTCTCCCGGGCACGCTGAGATTTCAGCTCCTGGTCTAGATCTAGCCTCACCCACAGGGCTTGACATTCATTCTGTGGACCCTTCCAACTTCTACTCTTTCTATTCTGGTAAATGTTTTCTTCCAGGACTTTGCCACTTGAATTCTTCTTTGTTCTCCCTTTCTCTGCTTTTAATGAATATGGAAATTAATTTTCTTACTTTTCTGGTCTTATTATCTCCCTCTTTTCTGGAATGCTGTTTCAACTTTATCTTCTAATAATTCTGATATTTTCGCTCT